TTTTTGTGTTACACGGCTTATTTTGTATTACATCACCTTTTTTTTTGTATTACACTGGTAGTTTTGGTATTTCACTGGAATTTCTAGTAGAACACGGCTTTCTCTCGTAGTTCACCGCCTTTGCTTGTAGAACACCATTTTTCTTGTAATATACCGCTATTTCTTTAACTACACCGCTATTTTTGGTATAACACCGCGCGCCGCTTTTTCTTGTAATACAACGCTATATCTTGATTTCACAGCTATTTTTGGTTTAACATCGCAATTTCTTGTAGAGCACCGCTTTCCCTAATAGTTTACGCTATTTCTTGTAGGAAGCCATTATTTCTTGTAATATACCGCTATTTCTTGTATTACACCATTATTTTTGGGTATAACACCGCTGTTTCTTGTATCGCACCGCTATTTTTTGTAATACACCGCTATTTTTTTATTGCACCGCTATATTTGGTATGACACCGCAATTTCTTGTAGAACACCGCTTTCTCTCGTAGGTTACCGCTATTGCTTGTAGAACACCATTATTTCTTGTAATATACCGCTATTTCTTGAATTACACCGCTATTTTTGGTATAACATCGCTATTTCTTGTGTCTATCGCTATTTCTTGTAATACATCGCTATTTCTCAATTGCACAGCTATTTTTGGTATGACACCGCAATTTGTTGTAGAACACCGCTTTTTCTAATTGCTTGTGGAACACCACTATTTTTTGTAATATACTACTATTTCTTGTATTACACCGCTGTTTTTGGTATAACACCGCTATTTAATTGTAGTGCATCCGCTTTTTCTATACAGCCATTGCTTGTTTCTAACAGCGGTATCTCGTGTAATGCATCGCTATATCTTGAAGTAAATTGTCATCTCATATCGTGCACTGTTTATTCTCGTAGTTATCATACTTTTTCTCTGTTATTTATATATTTAAACTTTAATAAATCATTAATTTTTATTACATAAATTCGATATAAATTGGTCAATTTCCGTCTGGTATATTTGGCATAAATAGTCAGTTTTAATCGGCTTTATCCGGAATATATCGTCAAAAATAATGCGTAACAAGTAACCTCATTGCTCAACAAATATCCAAATTGGAATTTATAAATGAAAATGTGATCATTTTAATGTATATCCCTTCTCCGCCCCCCAACCCCCTCCCCCCGCTAAGCATTTCGCAATTGCAACAAACTTATAATCTTCAGTCAAAGATCATGGTATCTTTTTTCATTTTCAGTTGTCTTTTCATGGCACACATTACCTTTGGGCTTTTATATCACTGCTTTTGTTGTTTTCTTTCTATGTTTTTCAAACCATTTTTTTTTGCTGTATTTTTACATTTATTTGTTTGAGCAGTCGTTGTTTTACATCATTTAATGCTTTATTATATTATATCCGTTCCGTGTGTTGATACATCATTAGTTAAAATATAATGTGTTTATATGTAATTAATATCTTCACGATGTATCTATAAAATAGTTTCATCAGTTTTTTCCATATATTTAAACTAGGTAGTATTTGAAATATAACCTGATATACCTGTATAACCTAAATGTAATTTCATTTATACTTTTTCAAATGTGTCATTTGTTAATACAAATATATGATTATTAAATAATTTTGATATAATTTATATTCTAAATCCAGGATGGCACTATATGCCTGTTTTATTTAAATCCTGACATCATTTACCAGTATGTTTTAAATCAAAGCTGACATTAAATATTTATTGCAATCCTAGCATAAAAACTTGGTATAATTTATATTTTTAATCCAGGACGAAACTCTCTGTTTTAATAGTATGCTGAAATATTATTTTGATATGATATCATTATAAATTCAGGTTGACATCACATATTATCCGTATGACCAACAAAAATGTGCCATAGAAATAGTCAGCTGGACATACACTATAGAAGAGGTGAAACTCGAACATTTGTTTGAAACAGTAAATCTGGAGGATTTTGAGTAAGTGTGATTTGATTTGTCAGCAGCTGAACATTTACCCTAGAGACTTACGCCTCCCTGACGCCCTCCTTAATATATGAACATTCGAACAGTCAAAATGGTTGATTATTAATATCATCTGATCTATTTTACTAAGCAAGCAAATATTTTTAATACAAATATGAACATTCGGTGATTATTCTGTTGTATAGTGAATTTGTTTATAATGGAAGGGCTGTATGAATAATCATGTTGATAGTATTAAGCATTACACAATCATAACAACAAACCAACGACGAATGAATTATGCATGGAAGTTGTTGGCAAGTGTACTATTCGATATTACATAATGATATTTTTAAAGCAGATGATAAAGTGTTCTAGAACAAAATGATATTATTCATCGGATAAATGGCCATTCTAAATCACTTAGTACTTCATCAGTGAAAGCAGCATTTAATTAGAAAATCCAAATGATACATTTCTATTGTTTTGTTATCAATATTTGAAATACTTATGGGAAATGTGTCAATTGTCGACCTATCCGATTTAATTGTTATTTTCATTTAAAGAAAACTCTCATTGATTTACAACTTTGTATTAATCTTTGGAAAACCGAACATGTATCCTTCATTTTTGCGTCGGACTGAGTGGCAATACTACTAGATTATACATACTGGGGTAACGGGTTCAATAACTTGCAATGTCCACACAAATATTATCTAGTGTTGTGAAAAATGCAAACAAATGTTTATTCGTTGCCTTATCGCGAATTCGAATAAAACAAAGATACTAGAAATGGACTGGATTTCATCGACCTTATACTTTCTGGTATAATGATTATAAAAATCATTCACCACACATTTGACCCGCTTCTGTTTGCTTTGGATTTGTATTTATTTATTTTTCCTCATTTTCTAATCGAATTTATGAAATTACAATTGCACTCTATTTTAATTTACCACACATTTGACCCGCTATCATTGCATTGTTTTTTCCCCTAACATTTTCTTATCTAATTTATCAAAATTATAATTACACTCTATTTGTCGTGGTTAGAAATGAATTGATTTTATAACAGTGATAGCAACGTCTAATACAGTTACAATCCTGTTATAAAATGTGATATCTATAATACATTTCTGTTATAAAATGAGATATCATTTATATCTTTCATTCATTCTAGAACTCACGGAGAATGGGAGATAACTCGTACAGAAATTGAAGATAAAAACCTGACAGAACATCTACCCGACGGAACGGTCAGAGTTTTTCCACAGATTGACTTCTGGATTTACCTACGTAAGTATGTTTTCCTGTACTATAGTTTAAACATATTTTATAGCATCAAATGCATGTCAAAATTATACAAGTGATGAGTGTATAACAAAAAAGCAAATGAGTTTGGCAACGAGTTCCAGCGACATTAGATTAAGCCCTAAGAGAATTAATTTACCTGTAATAAATAGACAAAAAATACTAGAATTATTTTAAAGTAACAAATATACAAGCGCAAGTATCCCTAAGGGACATTATAAAAATGGCTTTTGGATGATTGAAAAATGTTTCTGTCTAAGTTATTATAACAATTGAGTCCGCTGATAACATCTTTGTCATTCCTTAATACAATGTAGTTATAAAAAGCGCTCAAATGTGATTATATATCCCTGATTGATTGATTGATTGATTGATTAATCGATTGATCCATGCACAGCATTAGCCCTGAAATTTGACTGTTTAATCGGATGAATATCTTAAAACATTCAAAAAAAGGGAATTGCTTTGCACACATTTGTTTTTGATATGAAATGAAATCTCATTTAGAAAATTACTTTACTAATGGCGGTGTATTAAAAAAAGATAGTGCTTGTGAAACAACAAAAAACATGAATTTAATTCACTGTGAAAACAGTTATAGTAGGAGCTGTTGTTTCACTTGTATAACGAACGCTGAAAAACGAAGATATTCCCGTTTTGGTTGCATTTGTTTTGTCAGTATGATACAAATCGGTCGTTATAATTTGGCTTTCTCGGACAACTTTTTGACCAGAAAGTCGCCCGAGGTGCTCCGAGTGTAATGTAAATAATCTATGTTTTTTTTGGGTGATTTTAATTTTAAATGTCAATATTTATTCAGGTCGAAGAACTCAGTTTTACAACCTAAATGTGATGATGCCTATCATTCTGACGTCACTAATGGTTGCCTTGGTGTTTATAGTTCCGGTAGATTCCGGGGAGAAACTCTCGTATGTTCTCACGGTATTTCTCGCACTTGCGGTCCTTCTCACCATCGTCGCAGATTCTTTGCCGCCAACTTCGATTACTTTGTCGGTGCTAGGTAATTACATTACAAATACATTACTTTTTTCAACTAATTAGTAATTTCAACTATTTAGTAATTTCATTTATATACGTGGGATGGCCAACAATTACTTGAACGTTTGCAATTGCAACTTTTGGGACCTTTCCGTCAGTCTTCGGATAAGGACCTCGAACACAATAGCATAAGGTATTTCGGTCTAACATACACTATGAAACTAAACATGCAAACAAATAGTAATTGTATCATAGTTTGGAGACCTTTCTGTTGAAAAAGTGTCAGAGTTAAATCGTATACATATACATGCACAGTGCGGTAACTGGGGTGCAGGTATCAGTTACCCGCACTCCAGATAATGCCCGTTGATTGGTTCATTTTTGCTGGGGTTTACTTATTGTGACGGCAGAGAAAGGGAAAGGGGCAGAAATTTCATATTCAAATGCTCGTTCATTGGTTCATTTTTTCTGGGGTTTCGTATTATGACAACAGGGAACGTGCTGTCATGTTTGACTATGATACAAAAGAGAAAGAACACCAAAACACTCGGCAATCTGATTAATACTCGGGGGCTACGCCCCCTCGTACAAATCAGATAGCCTCATGTTTCGGTGCTCTTTCTATTACTTTAATGCTGGGAGTTGCTGACAAGTTTTTTTCTAAAAAAATACATCAAATTAATGTCCACCTAAATGTACATAATATACATTGGTTTTACATTATCAAAGATTACACTCTCTGTTTCTGTTTACATCTGAAAGCACGTGATAGAAACCGTATTAACTCCGAGATTATAATTGATTATAGCCGAGGATGTTCCGATTAGAAAGTTTGCTGTACATTAAAACGGTAAAAGTTAGTCACACTTAAAATCACTAGCAGAAGGACACATGTACATTTACCAACATGTTTACAAACAAAATGTTGATAGTTTACACACACTTGAGTACAAATGATGGTGTTCCTTTTAAGTACACTTTTGTATGCATGGAATAAGAAATAAATAATTGTCATATTGGTACATGATCTAACATTATATTTAATGATGTATTTGACAGGTCTTTACCTCGGCATCGTGTTGATCCTGGCTGCGGTTGGTATTTTGATAACGATATTAATACTTATCATGTTCCATAGAGAAGGTCAGCCCGACGAAAATTCTTTCATCATCACATTAACAAGAAACGCGGCAAAAATTATTTGCTGGAACTCGTCTGCTTTGAACACGAGATCAGACGACAAAGTTTCACCAATGAGAACGTCACTGAAAACAGCGGAAGTATGCACCGTAGTGTCAAAGGATACAAACAATGACGTCATGTTTGACGTCACGGATAAGAAAAGAAGCGCTCAGAACAATGACAATTCTGTCGATGGTACCGATGAAACCAATGAAATCACCTGGAAAATCATTGCACAGATATTAGACAGATTCTGTTTCTTTTTCTTTTTGATTATAACTGTTATAATGAACTTTTCTTTCGTAGTTACACTGGCAACAGGTGGACGTACTAACGGGCACTAAAATGATAATATTCTTCTGAAAGCTATTTCTAACAAGAGCCCGGTCTGAACCGTGTGATGCCCTCCGAATAGATTTTTGACACAGGAAAGTACACCTCTTGTAGTTTCAGAGTTATGTCCCAGGACAAAGTTCAAAGTGCGATAGTTCCAGAATTAGGCAACTGTTCTTTGGACTGGACTTCTAATCTACTAAGATCTATCTACTTACAAAGATTCTTGTTGATACTTCTTATGCATTCCGAGTTATGTTCCAGACAAAGTTTAAAATGTAAAAATTAACAAAGGGCAATAACTCCATAACAAGCCAGGGCAGAGTTATGTTTCTTGTGCACTGCACATTTACATATAAAGATCTATCTACCTAAAAAGTTTCATGTTGATATCTCTTATAGTTTTAGAGTTATGTCCCGGACAAGATTTTTCTTGAAGGGTAGATAATTCAAAAAAGGGCTTAAAAGAGTTACGGTTCTTTTGTACTTCTACCCAATGAGATCTATCTACCTACAAAGTTTCATGTTGATATCTCTAATAATCTAAGAGTTATGTTCCTGACAAAGTTCAGTGTTAAAATGAAGAAAGGGCAATAACTCCAAAATAATGCAAAATAGTATAGGGTTCTTGTGCACGGCACTTCTACCCATTGAGATCTATTTACCTACATAGTTTCATGTTGGTATCTCTTATAATTTTAGAGTTATGTACCGGACAAGATTATTCTAAAAGGTGAGATAATTCAAAAATTGGGCAAAACAGGGTTATGAATCTTTTGCACTGCACTTCTACCTAATGAGATCTATCTACCAACAAAGTTTCATGCTGATATCTCTTATAATCTTAAAGTTATGTTCCGTTCAAAGTGTAAAAATAAACAAAGGGCAATAACTCCAAAATAAGGCAAAGCAGATTAACAATTCTTACGCACTGCACATTTACTCATTAAAATCTATCTACCTACAAAGTTTCATGTTGATATCTCTTATAATTTTAGAGCTATGTCCCGACAAGATTTTTCTTAAAGGGGAGATAATTCAAAAATGGGCTGAACAGAGTTATGGTTCTTTTGCACTGCACATCTACCCGATCTATCTATCTGCAAAGTTTCATGATGATATCTCTTTTAATTTTAGAGTTATGTTCTGGACAAAGTTCAAAGTGTAAAAATGAACAAAGGGCAATAACTCCAAAATAAGGCAAGGCAGAGTTACGGTTCTTGTGCACTGCACAGCTATTTATTGAGATCTATATACCTACACAGTTTCTTGTTCATATCTCATATAATTTAAGAGTTATGTCCCGGACAAGATTTTTCTAAAAGGAAAGATAATTCAAAAACGGTGCAAAATAGAGTTATGGTTCTTTGACACAGCAATCCGCTTCAATGCCTTTTACCACTGTGTGAAGGTTAAACAAATTATCTCAAAGGCTTTTCAAGTAATGCTCCGGACAAGACAACAGCCGGACAGAAGGACAGACAGACGGACAAGGCGGCGACTATAATTATGCTCTCCCTTCGGGGAGCATAAAAATGTATAATGTCTCTTTATTTCTTTGTCTTTTTTCTTGATAAATAGGTGTCATTTAAGGATCAGATGCAGTGTTTATACTAGGTGATATAAATCATAGCATATTCCTTCTCAGGTTATTCTTCAGACAAATATTTTACATGAAGTGTCATAGTTACCTTGACCTTTGACCTTATGACCTCAAACATGAATAAAAATCATCTACTTGCTATGGGCAAAGTATCTCGAGCGCACGAGATAAACAAACACACACACGATGCAAATACCCCTTTAAAATATGTATAACCATTTTTTAGAAATACATTTCTTTTAACTAAATTTAACAAAGAGTTGTCTCGCTTTTATCAATTACAATTAATCATGCACCATCATTTAAACCTTATTTACTTATACCTTAACTGTTAAGCAATAAATCGAGCGGTTATGTTCAATGAAATGAAAGAAATTATCTTGTTGTAAAAAAGTCCAAATGGAAATCACTAATTAGTAATATATTTCAATATAATTGTTTTTAATCACAAAAAAGTAAATAATTCACGCAATTTCGATTAACGTCTTTGTTATTTATTGGTAACGTAAGAATGGGGAGTCTTTTTTTATAATTAAAAATTTAGGTTGTATCTTAAGCATTTGTCATGGCGTAACGTAAGATTGGGAAGATTTTTTAGACATCTTTGTGTTGTTGTTTTTATCTTAAACATTTGTCAATTATTTCATTTTAAAACATTTTTGTCATGATTAAAACTTAGCCATCAAAAAATAATAATTATATTTTTTAGATTTTATAAATTAATGACATGAAGTCACTGTCATCTTTATTCTGAGGAGGATGAATTCTCCGAAAGAAAAAAAAACACTTATTGCTACATTTCACATTTTTTTGATGCTCTAATGCACTAAAAAGCCTTTTTAAGAACAAAACTCGCGTTTTAGGGCCCGGAAATTTGACGGTGCCTGACTAGGGCATATGAGAGGTGTTGCTCATATTTGTATAGCATCTCATGAACACATATAACATATAACCAAACGAAAGCAACTTTTGACTTTTTCGTTTCCAAGATATAATTGACTAAAAACTTCAATTTACATAACAAATCTTAGAATTGAAAGTATTTATAAACGATATTGTTTTTTTTTTTTTTCAAAGCTAAAAACTTCATTAGCCAGTAATAATACTATAGCAATGTTACAACGACCATGATTTAATTACATGTATTTCAATTGACATTAAAATATTATATATAATTTTCAAAGTAGTTGGACTTTGTTTGAATTCGGATGAACAGAATGTATCCTTATCATTAACTAAGTGGACAGATCGTAGAAAAATACACTCTGACTGGAGTTCAATGTGCTTTATTACAGAAAAAATGTAAAAATGACTGAAATCACTAAAAAAGCATGAACTAAATATCAATTTTAAGATCAAATTAAATTTCTTGCGTGGACACCAGCTTTTATATTTTCACTTGTGGCGTACCGACAGGTGAAAATAAATCATTCGGTGTCTTCACTCACAAAAATATATATACCGATCAGAAATGCTAAACAAACAAATACATGTATATGACATCTTCAAAATAATACATTTTTAATAAGGTTTTTTTGTAGAATCCATTTAATACTTTCAACAGCAACCATACATGTACAGAGATACAAAGTTTACAATGAAGGAATCTCAAAATCTTACACACGGTAAGCGATTGTTAAATTCTAGATCTATAATTAATAATATTAAACGATAATTTGAACCCTTTGACTAAAATACTTAGTCGGTACATACTTGAAATTAATTGATTTCTACAAAGTGATAAATGGTGATTAAAAATTAATATGTACATATATTGTTATTAGACGTTATTAGGCAAAACTATCGATGATTACGTTGCAACCTGAAATGAAACTAACAACACTAACTAAACATGATAACATTTCAAATTATAATTTGATTTTCGTTAAGCACGAAGCACTTGCGAGGCGTAACATGCATGTATACATGAACATGACAAACACCTATACATTAATTTTGTTACGCTCAATAATACATGCTTATACAGATTAAATACAGTCATCAAAAACAACGGTGCAAATAATTTTCAGTACTATATATAACAGAAAAGCGCAGTTAATTGAACATAAGCATATATATATTCTTAACTCAACAAATAAGAAATATTACTTATATTTGTGAATAAATTTACTGTCAGCTCAGTTACGCCTCGCAAAGCTGAATGAACACATTCAATTCTTCTATACTGAGTTATGAAAATAGCGCGAAATCATCTATCCGTGACTCGATTGCACACAAAGGAAAATAGTTTTTTTATAATTCGTAAACTCAAACTCAGAAAACTATATCTATTATGATACATGTTACAATTTAAGGAAATGCTTAACACTCTTTACAATAAAGTTGTTCAAATATCAGGATATATATCATAAGTTCATAAAACATTAAAAACAACTTCAAACAACAAACAAACAAACAAAAACAACAAACAATATACGTAATCCATATGATAGGCAAAGAGACAGAATAAGAAAAAAATGTTTTACAACAAAATAAATACTAAGTTTTGAACAAAAAGCAATTCAATTTGTGATCAAACATGCAGCATAATCATAGCAAAAAGAATGAACGTTTTATATTTAATATACTTATTTTTCTTTTTAATTAATATATTTTTATAAATACATACAACTGCATTGTCAGCACAACTTTTTTACACAAATGGTGAATGACATTGAATTCTTATAACTAGTTTTGAAGCGTTAGTAAAGGGTTTATAATTAATTAAATTCATACAACTTAAAACTTTTTACACAAATAATGAATGAATTAAATTTTTTATAACTAGTTTTGGAGCGTTAGTATAGGGTTTATACCTGATGACAATTTAAAAAGATGTGCTAAAGTCGCTGACGTTTATTACAAAAACAACAGTTATATTAAACAATACTGCTTGCATCTCTGCCGAAACTGAATGATTACATGAACATATATAAAATATACCTAGTAAGAATTCACACGCAAAATAATTAACAAATAATAAGAACAAAAAATGGTGTGTAGTTGTATGAACACTATCATTTTGTATCCTTGCTTGCCATGTACTGTTCGAACAATTTCTCTGCATTTCTATTCCATTCAATAAATTGCAAATTATTGCGCATGCCTTTGGTATATCGAGAAAACGTATCAATACTTTTACTTTTGTACAAAAAAGATTCTTTTAGAATTGGTGATATCTGAAGCACATTCATATAGTTATACTTGTTGTAAAGTCTTAACCAAGTATCAGGATCTTTTACAATTTGTGTGAAATCTGTTCTCTGAAGATAAAACGGTACATAAAATCCCTCTTTTAAGACACTCGATAACATGTTTATTCTTAATGCAGGAAATGTGTGCCGTATTAATTTGAAAATCTCCATTTCCATTCTCCGGTACAAACACGACACAACAATTTCAGAGCAATTAATAGTACTCCATTTGTACCTCGAAATGTGTTCAAGAATAGTATTCATCTGATGCAAAATCATGTCTTTTTCCAAACAATTCTTTAAGCATTTACTTGCTTCGCCTTTAAGGATTGATATCACTTTTTTGAGTGATATGCGTAAATAATTGCAGGTACGATTTTCTGCGTCAGCTATTCGAATAAGTTTTGCTTGTTCTGTACTGGAAACAGTAGTATGGCTACGAATTAAACTGAATATAAGCCTAATATTATTTAAATGTATCAACGCATAATGATCGAGTAAATTCAACCCGTAAAAATTCCATACATTAATAGTTTTCAAGCTCACACCTAAGGTTTTTAAAACCTGTAGCATTAAATGTTGCCAAGTATTTCTTTCGATATAAAATGACAATTTCCACTTAAAGTCGTTGACACCTTGATGATATTCACTTGACTTAAAAGTACGAATTACTTTCTTCGCACAGTTATAAGCTTTTATCTTTTTGTAAGATGTATTTGGGACATTTTTTGTATACGACATAATACACAATACATGTTTGTTCTCATATCTTGAAAAGTTATACTTGAACACAAGTTTGAAAAGAAAATATATTTCAGCGGATTTGGATGGAGCTGTAAATGGTATGCCTTGAGCTTCTATAAAATCTGTTGTATCGTCATATTGAAATACTTTAGAAAGATATAATGGCGTAAATTCATCAATGTTCTTACACCGCAGTATATCTTTTCCCCAGTACTTTACTGCAAGGACTACACTATTTTTCAAACCTTCAAATGCAAGCCGGTGAATAATAGAAAACTTTCTGCTTGATTTTAAACAAATTGTCCATTTAGATATTTCATACCTGTACGATGTGAGTATATTTGATACTAATTCATCATAGATAATTCTTCGTATTGATACTAGTCCATAAAAATCCTCTTTCTTCATATTAATATTTGGAGAAAAATAAAATGTGCTAAAATCATGGATTTTATGCGAGCCAAAAGCATTAATTATTGTTTCAAATTTCAAGAAAGATATTTTGATAATATTGGACTTGGTTATTGATATGATAGGCACATGTTTGTTTTCTTTCCTATATTTAAGACCATTGAGTGCCATTTCTATTAATTTATTTTTATCTTCATTGGTTTTCACGCCATTTTCAATTAGATATTTTACTAACTCTGGACTACCCCCTTGAATTGCTCTATCTAACACATTGAAACCATCTTGGTCATAACACTTGCTCATCAAATGTGATAGAGAATTGTGAAAAATAAATTTCTGGATAAAATGATCAATTTTGTCAAGTCCAATTAAGCGTAGCAAACTTGATATTTTCAAATAATTGAGAGCAATTGAATGTGTTTGACATTTATATAAAAGTTCGTTGCAAGCGCTACAGGAAATCAAAAGATCAGAAATATCTTTTTTATAGTCAGCAACCAGTTTTGGTAATAACCTTTTTATATATACAAAATAAAAGGCTAGCGTTTGCACTCCATAGCGATCTTGTTGGATAATATCTGAAAGCATATCAGCTTGGCTGTATCGTAAATGACCCTTTGCCTCCAACAAAAATATAACGACATACACACACTGTTTTTTAACAAATTGTCTGAATATATCTTGACGAAAACTTAGAATGTTTGATTTTATCATAAAGACTAATGTAAGAAGTAATGTGTACTCATTTGCAGTCATTTGATCTATAGACTCATCTGTAGGTCCAAAAGTTGAGTTCCCAAATGACTGATTTGGGAGGAAAAACGAGGAAAATGGTTTTAACTTTAACAACGCGTAACGTAAAGGAGTTCTGTTGTCAATATCTTCGGCTTCAAGAAGAATATTTGATTCGTCTCGAAAATTCTTGAACAACTCAAGAACAACTTTGAAATGACCTTGAGTAATTGCATAATGCAAAATGTTTCTGCCGAATGCGTCTGTAATATTAAAGTCCCAATCTTTTGAAATAAGCATGAATATAATTTTTGATATTCTTATTTCTATATCCATGTAGTTACTAGCCAATTCCGGTTCATAACTTGTATTCATTGCAAGTTTTATATACATAAACATTTTGGATTTTGATTCTCCTGAGTAATTTTTATTGTGCATAAGAAGTATTTTAGTACTTGATGGAGATCGCCATTCTACAGCAGAATGTAAAGCTGTTGAACCATTAGCACACATGAAAAGCTCAAAATGCATAACGAGATGTTTAAGAAGATAGCTCAACATTTCCACACTACCATGACATGCAGCTAAATGTATTGGATAACACCCTTCCATGTCCCTAGTCATCCAATTTAATGCTATTCCACTCCGTATTAACATATGAGATAGGATGATATGATTGTATTTTGCAAGAATATGTGGAACTGTCATATGATTTTCACAAAAGGACTTGCCAATTCTGGTCACTTCCTTTTCATGAAGTTTAAAGCTGTCATTCAAAGGACGGATTGTTGCGCATGTTTCGTTACCAGTTAAGATCCCAATACTTAAAAAATACTCCACAATGCCTTGATTGCCGTATTGTAGTGCAGATATGACGGGCGTTTTTCCACCTCTATCATAACAAAATGAAGTACGTTTTGATTTATTTATTAATATGTTAACAACATCAAGTTTGTTTTCCCTAACAGCAATATGCAATGCAGACTCGCATGTGATGTTTGCCCAATCGTCTAGAAGAACAAATGAAAGTCCTTTGTCCATAACTTCAGAATCGCGAAAAACATGACCTTGTACCCGAAGCTGTCCCTTTTTTATCCATGACATATGTGATTCACATTTGTAGCACTTGTCCTCAATCCCATTGTCGAGGATATAATTTACTAGACACAACCGTCCAATTTCCGAGGCGTAATATAAACACTGCCAGTCAAGCATCCATTTGTATTTGGAGTGTAAAAGTTTCACGATTGTAGTATGTCCCTTTTTACATGCTAGATGAATTGGTAACAAATGCATCGAATTGTACCTTGTTATCGGGTAATTGAATAGATGATTATTATTTTTCAGTACATATTTAACAACATTTTCATGGCCATGTTGAGCTGCAATGTCCATAATACCATAATCCCAATGCTGATGTTCAATTGACACCGTGAAAGCTTCTTCAAAGTTAATGATTTTGCTGTACGAATTTGTCCGGAAGCTTACGTTAGAACCTTTAAGTATTAATGCATTGAAGGCTTTCACGTGCCCCAGCGATGCAGCGATATAAAGAGCCGTGACATTATCTTTATTTCGAGCATCAATGTCTTCAAAATGATACATAAGCAAGTTTATAGCTTCAGAACTGTCCCGCCGTCTCACTAATCTAAAAAGAGGGTATTCGTCTTTATTTTGTTCAGTTTGTAACATTGTTAGTTTAGGAACGCTCAAAAACTGCTGATGTAGGGCCTTTGAAAATGAAAGATCAACATGCATGACAAGATCTATGATGTCGTTTTCAAAATTACCATATTCTATCTGCTGAAATATATGTAAAGCATTTAATTCATGTCCGCATTCAATATCAATAGAGAAGTCGATATTACTTTCATCTATAAGCCATTCTCGAAAAGATAAGTGGAAAAAGTGAATTTCGTTTTCAATTTTGTGAAAAAAATTGTCCAACAGCTGAAAACTTAAATTGAATTGTTTAAAAGTCATACTAGTAACATCTGACACAATCAACCATACTTTGTCCCTTGTGGGTGGTTCAAAAGACGAGTAAATAACTTCAAGTATAGTTTTTGAATTTATAAATGTCTCTTCATATTTGGAAGTAAAGAAGCGTTGAAACTGATGTTCGTAAAACACATATAATGAACTTGGGAACAAAGCACCAGACTGAACTGCCTCAATGGTTCCGCTACTCTGGTTAAGAAGTGATAGTAGAAGAAAATTAGAAACATTAATATTTTTGTACTTGTTCGTAAAACTCACAGACATGTTTGAACTTAAATGTTTTCTATACATAACTATATCATTCATATTTTCCCTTGAAAAGTCATTTAACCGCATTACATGGAGATCTACAGTCAGATGTTTTATCCTTGGATCTGGTCTGGTTGACACTAAAAATTTTATCCAGAGTGGAAATAGATGTAGTCTTTTTTGAAGAATTCGGAGTATGTCGTTCACACCTCTGCTGTCATCAAAACATTCATCTAAACCGTCAATGATAATGATTACAGGTATATCCTTTGGTTTAGACATTTTGTTTAACGGTACTATCAAACACTGATCTAAACAACCATATGGATCGCTTTTGCACATGTCTTTGTCAAAAATATCAATACACGTCTTTATATCATCATTCATAAAGGGCATTTGTGCAAACATCATGTTTATCAAACGAAAGACAAAAACGAAAATTTGCTTAGAAATTAAAGCATCAAATCTGCAGACATGAAAAGCGACAAGGCGACTCCGTATGACAGCAAAGGATTAGTTTCTGGATGAACATATTATTTTTTTCAAAAATGCTGACTTTCCGTATCCCATTCCAGCTTCAAGAATGACACCTCTGTTTGTTTCATTTGCATTAAGCAATTTGCGTTCAGTTAAATGTGTAAGCCACTCTCTACCGACAAAATGTTGATGATGAGCTATATAATCCATCAAGGCAATTGGCGGAAAACGCGTTGTTTTGTGGCGTATTCAGAGTTTATTTGTTACAACTTACCCGCTTGCGACGATAAAGTCATCTTTGACATACGTTCGTTTATGGGATCCATTGTAGCTTGCATAGGCATATTATTTAGCCGTATAATCTGTTGAGCAATGTAGGCCGGTGGTTCTTTAAACAGAACTGCAAATACCAAAATGACGATGAAAACAGATAAGCAAAAAATATGTGTCAACATCTTTCTGTTGGTTTCATTCACAGTCGATGAAAGGTCATTTAATCTAGTTTCTATTTCTGCGTTTTGCAATCCAATGGCATGGAGGGCACGTTCGAAATCCTCCATAAATAGTTCTCCATTTTCCAATTCATGAAGTGTTTGTAGAAAATCTGCATGGTTATGTATGGTTTGCTGAATGTCAGGATGTGATACAACATTGTTAATTTGTTGAAATATCAATGTCTTCTTTGCATTCGAAAGTTTCATGTTAGCGTTGTTATGTGCAAGCTCATTTCGAGACTCCTTGAGAATTTCCAACAAATTTACGACGGGCCTTTGGAACTGTTTGCAACGATTCCATACATTAAATATTGTGCTCAGATCTTTTAAATTAATGTTCCTATTACCCTGTCCAGGAAATTTAAAAACAAATACTTCAGCGATTTCTTTTGCTCCATTTGGCCAACACCATGAAGCTGTGTCTTGCCAATTTCTTCGAACGCCACGTGGAATGAAGTTTTCTAACTCTTGTCGCCAGCTGATACATGTAACACACCACCTATAAATAAAGGTTACACTTCCATTATAAACAAAGAAGATTAGTTTTTTTCAATAAGAATTTCCTTCGTGCATGCAATTTTGTGATATACTTCTTAAAGCTGATTTAAGCGAAAGACTTGTGATATTGTTTGCCAAATTAATTTAGTGATCGAACGTTTTAAGTCGATTCAAACGAATTAAAATCTTAATTTCATTTTTATCACTTAGTAATGATTCTTTAAAATTTATAAAAAAAGAAGAAAGGAAACAAATAAAAGTTTATAACTAATAATACTCTAATTCGATGATGAACAATAGCGTGTAGTAAATAAATTGTAAAATAATGTGTGGATATTAATGCAAAGTTGAATGAATAATTTAACAGTTGAACCGACTATAATAGATTGTTTTATTTAGATCTCCTTACAGTAGATCAATTAGTGACTGTCACCTGTGTTAACATTCATATATACTGATTTAGTCAACGATCAGTTTATACAAACTTCGTATCAAATATCTAAATCGTTGACAAAGTAAAAATTACACTGTACAGTACTACAATATAACAGAGATATCCATTCACGGTGGAATAATATATAATTAGTCACGTCAAAACTTTACCAAATTATGACTTTAAATCTGAGGTGTAAAATATCAGAATATATAAATAAATCGTATCTAGATTTTAACTTATGATAATTTACAGAAAATAAGCTAACGCAAGCTAACTTGGTTGCTACCTAACATACTTAACCCTGAGAAGTAGTAAACTATAAACACTCATGAATTGGAAAATGAAACATTACTTGTTTTCAATTTTATATATTTGTCTTTATATTTTATGATCTGCACCCCTCACAAAAAAAAGAAAGACAGAAAGAAAGAAAAAAAATAGAAACGGCAATCATCACCATAAAATAACTGTTCTGTAATTACTATTTAGCCGTTATCATATTTAACTAAACTATTTCATTTTGTAAAATGTTTTGAAATCAATACCTGTTTATATCTCCGCCATTTTGACTACATTGGTTTAAGCAAGGTGGCAAATTTCCTACTTTATTTTGTATATGATTATGCACAGCTAATAATCCTTGTTGAGTAAAATTTTCAAGCGCTTCTCCTGTTTTGAAAGTAGCAACTAAAGCACTGATATAATTTCTAAATTTTCTTTCATTTCTTAAGTTAGCCATTTTTTATATATCTTATGTTGACACGTTAATTGGAAGTATAACTATATTGTACCTTATAGTATACCGAAATATAAAAGTACGGATTGCATATAAGGCCAATAGACAGAAGTAACTTTTGGAGGCGCAAGCTACCATTGGAATAACGTTAAATTAGCTTACTACCAGTTCAACACATCTATTGTGTAAGCTATCTACGCTGAGCAAAAATAGTTCTAAGACTTTGCTATAGTATTCAGAGAACCATAATAATACCCTTTCTATTTTATTGTATGAAGTCGGGTAGTAAACAATGCCATTAATTAAGCATACTAGAAAATACAACAAAAATGGATTCATTAAGAACGTTATAACAGTGTTATTACCATGTTAATACGCATTTGTGACTTGTCCTATAAATGAACGGTGGTGGTTGATGCAAAACTTCCCCTAGTAAAATGGAAATCAGTTTTCAACCTTTAAACATGCAAATGCTGACCGTTTAACTTAACCTTTTGTTTGAAAGTACGAGTATATATTTACTTCTTCAAGTTTTTTTTATAAGTTAAGTAACTATACAAAACAAACAATATTAGTACCATTCGCATAATTGAGCTGGCCCAAAGTAAGAATCATTTTCCTTCTGTTTAACCCGTGACGCTATGTTTCACGGTAGTTTTGGTGTTTTTGTTTACAAGTAAGTAAATCCTCAAATGCATTAACCGCGTCCGAATGGGTGATACGCCAAGTTTTAAATTAAAACAAAATGTCATCGACACGATTTAAGGTTCTCACAAATTTCCGTTTTTAGCGTTTTTTAATACATATGACCACTTTAATTTATTATGTAACTTCATCAAACCTTGGCATATAAAAGCAAAATCCAAATCCAGGTATGAGCTGATGGAATAAGGGCAACAGTTCTGCATATGCCGGTAAAGTAAAGTTATATATAAGAACAATAGATTCGATAACTAAAACGTTTCTACTTAGGTAAGATATTTACGATTGGTAACATTTAAATCCGGGTGTTTTTTTTATATCCTTATAAGTGTATGTTTTATAAATTAAAAAATAAATAAATACTCAGCACTCTTGTGTGTGCGTGTGTTAGTGTGCGTGAGCGTGCGTACGTGCGTGTGTGTGAGTGTGTGTGTGGGTGTGGGGGGGGTGTGCAAAGTTTAACCGTTTTCTTGAATCTATTTTAAAAACTCAACCAATTATTTAGGACAATATCAAGACAATAAAATTAAGTTTAGTATATACATGCCCTAGCTATTATTTTACAATAACCCCTTAGAGATCTTATTTGGACAGTAATAAAAGTTCATGCAGCATCGACTGGTGTCTTAATTAAAGTGTCCACAAAGCTGCCCAAACCTGTATCTCAACCAATTGTTGCACCAACAGAAAAATACAGACTGTTTCGCATAGAACTGCTGACTAAGTAAAGTATAAATATACCACCAAGCATATAATTTCGCATGATGTAAAACATAAAATCACAGACTTTATTCTTTATTAAGCTTCATGATTATTTACGCAAACCAAGCGGGGAACCTCTATTTGTCTTTTTAATTTTACTATGAAATTTTAAGTTCATTTCTATTTTTACTGAAAATCTTTTTCCACTTTTCATTTAACGTATACACATGGTATAGCATTATTTTATTTCTACTTAACATGAACGTTTCAGAAACGTTTTATATTTATTATATGTGGTGGTTATATTTCACACTTCGTTTGTTAATATTTTTGCCAAGTTGCGCATTTACTTTCATAACTGAATTTAACCTTCTTCTAATATAACAGATAGTGCAATGTGCTGCATAACTTGAGCAGACGATAGAGCTAACACTGACAAGACAGATTCGAAATCCCACGCTTAACCTGGTGAATTTGTTAAACGGATTTTTCAAGTTTCCCTTTTTGGAGCTGTCCATTATCAGGCTGGAAATATCAAGATAGAAATTTAGAAAATTCGCCAGGCAACAGTCAGAAAGCACTGACGTTCAGTCTGGCTTGACCATATACTGGTTAATCTATTACGATTCTAGCGGAGTAAATTTGAAGTGTCGTTTACAGCTTAACAGATATAGCTTAATCAGTGGGCAGGACGTGGAGAGGTTGCACACTTGGTTCAAGCAAGAAAGATTGTTGCAAGCATCACACAATGGCTACCGAGTCATTGATATTTACATCATCGGCACGTATTTTCTATAGGTAAGTGGATATGTATGTTATTTATATGGACAAAAGCCCTCCCGTGTATATGACTATATGACAGGGCGGACATAAGTCCATAAGCCCGTAACAAAAATGTACAATTATGTTTGTTAAATACCTGTTTTTTTTTTGGAGTTTCTTTCTTTCTCTTTTGTTGTTGTTGTAGTTTGTTTGTTTGTTTTTTCCAATGCACTCAGCATTAAAATTTTAGGTAGATATATATGTTGATGTTTCAAATCTTCCTTTTTATATATATATATAATATGACAGAAAGAAAGTCATATTATAAATGTAAACAATAATGCAAATATACAAAAAGATATTGTATAAACATTTTGATTTTATAATAAATAGAACAAGTTTGATAAATTGTGTGTTCGCAGAATTTTCTGATGGATACGTCTGAGCGGTAGGTTGTCTGTAGACGTTCAGCCTGTACTCTCCGCCAAGTTGACTGTGTGAGGTGATAGAAATATACCTGTAAAAATATGAACATTATCAGCATTACTATTGTTACTATGATAGATATGAACATATTTAGTAAGTGTGCACTACGTACGTTTCCATGTGTATTTCAGAGTATGATATCTTTATAGAGACGTCACTTTAGCATATAGTAATCTTTAGCATAATAACTTAATATAAATTTGATATTCCCATTTTTTTATATTTCAGATTTAATATAGAAGATAGTTACCTGTATATGAATATGAATATGTGTTGAGACCACAGACCTCACAGCGTTATGAATATTTAACTCGTAGTCAGCAACGATCCGCTAGGAGAGCTGTGAGGTTTTATTCATAAGCACTCTACTGGCTGCAGTCACACAGGCTTCCCCAAACGGTACACGGATGGAAAACAGTTTTGCAAATTGTGGTGGCGCTGTGGATTGATAGAAATATTTACAATAAATTCGGGGATAAAAATCAGCATAATATAAAAATAAAGACTATTATGAAACAGTTTGCTAATAGAGTTGTTTATTTTACCTAAGGCAGAACGCGACACTTTGCGAACTAAAATACGAAAAATAGATATCTGAAATGATAAAACAAACAAACCTGTCGAGTGTGTAACATCCATGAACCATGTATCTGCGGTACCTAACTGCTGAATACACATTTCGTAAGCGAACACCAGGATCATCTCTGTAGTGGACTCATTGCCGTCATTATCGTAGATGAGGAATCTATCGGCCTGTAGTTGAGGGTATTGTAGTGGGAAAGTGTTAAGGATGGCTGAAATATTGCCCCCTCGTCATTTTTGTGTATGGAGATAGAAACATCACTGTGAAAATATGAACATTATCAGCATTACTATTGTTACTATAATAGATATGATCATATTTAGTAAGTGTGCACTACGTACGTTTCCATGTGTATTTCAGAGTATGATGTCTTTAGATCCATTCCCGTTTGTAACAGCTAATTTTAGCGAAAATCATCAGATTTATCGTTTTGACATTTAACCTGAATTGTGATTGTACGCCGTGAAACCCAACTAAACAAAACAGACATTTGCATGTATGTATTTTGATTCTGCGCAAAATCATGCCATCTTTTTCGAAACTTTATAGATAGAACAAATCGCAAACCATGGCATGCGGGCCTCTGTCACCTAACGCTTTGTAACTTAAATTGCCGTTACAACGAACCTCCCAACTGTTGTTATGGCTAATTTGCAACGGAATCAAACTAATGGTTTTCTGACGTTGGGCTTCGGAAGGTACAGTGGCAGATTTGTGCCATTCGTGTTTTCGCCCCGCGATCCCGCCAAGCGAAATGTCGAGAATAAACAAGATAAAATAACAGGGTCGCAGAGCGGACACAACCTTATTAGCGGGGGCACGACTAAATAAATAAAATGTCGCCCCGCTGGGTCGCGGAGCGAAATTCAAGAAATAAAACGTCGCAGGCGCGGTGCGAAAACACGCTTATTAGCGGAGCGAAGTCTTATTTATTTGATTTTGCCCCGCGCCTGCCTCCGCTATTTGCGTGTTTTTCCTCCGTGCCCCGCCATTTTAACTTGTTAATTCTTGACATTTCGCTTGGCGGGCTCGCGTGGCGAAAACACCAATTGCACAAATCAGCCACCATAGGAATGTGTTGTTTTTTTAAATGAAATTTCAAGACTTTATGCATAGCGGAATAAAATGTTATCTCGAAGATGGCACATTTTTACTTCACGCGCCACCCTTGTCACGTGATCGGTGTCAGTTATTTATGTTAGACACACGGAATGAGTGTCTCTGCGAATTATACACGATAGAAAAGTCACAAATCGCCAAGCCTTGAGGTTGGTGTCTCTATAAAATGCTTGCAAAAAGTCAGTCGTTCTATAAATTAGCAGAAATAATACATCAGAGATCCATACAGCGATCATGAAACCCGGGTGTCTCGAGGCCATTTTTCTTCGACTTATTTTGTCGTAAAGAGAACGTTAAAAATATTGCTATCGCTAATTTGCAATAACATCAGACGCATGGTTTTCTGCTGGCGGGCTTTATAAATTTTTGCTATTTTTTGCGAAAGTTCGAAGACTTTATACAAAAACATCTTATGACTATACTCCTTGATCTACCTAGAGCTTTGTGACTTATATTGCCTTAAAAAACGAACCTCCAAAGTATTGCTTTTAGCTTCTTGGCAATGGTTTCATACCATGGTTTTCTTACGGACTGTTTTAGAAAATTATTGTATATTTTTTTATATGATTTTAAAATTTGTGCTAATTCTTTCTTGTTACACGAATGGTTTGTATTCATTTTTCTAACCACAGTTTTGAATAAATAAATAACCAACTAAACAAACTTTGAATTTAATGGAAAATGGAAAAATAAACAGACGGGTGTGGTGGCATGCTCTCTTAAATAAATACATCAAAAGGTAAATACAAATGCATTTATCGGATCAATAGAAACAAGTTTCAAACTTGGCGGTAAGTGTTTTACAAATATTGTAAGTAATGCATGTATCTAGTCTCTAGTGTTGGTTAAACACGCGTGTTTAATACAAAAACTATCAATATCGGAATTTAAATATTTTCAAAATGATTGCTATAAACACATTTTTAAATAGTAGTTAAATAAAACAACAATAAAAAGGAAACGGGTTTCCAAAAACATGAATGAGGATAGGATTGATTGTATTGGTCAGAAATGATAACTACGTCATATCCGGTCCTAAGGCCAACGAAAAGTATTTTGTTTCTAAACACACTGTTAAAGAGATGCAGGTAACTTAATGGGATAAAATCACTTGCAATGATTTAATTTTTCATCAAGTTGACTGAGAATATGTGAATAATTTTTACTTCAAATACATAAATAATAGTATTTGTAATTTTCAAACAAATTATGTCGTATCACATCTAACACTTTACCTGCCAGAACCGGAAGTGAATCTTACGCCACCAGTATGGAGCCAGGACGTCCTGCATAACCTTGCAGTATGGCCAGGCCCTTTCCTATCGGAAGCTGAATTCTTGTATTTGGTATTGGGGGTCAAATGAACTTTTCAAAAGTCAAATCAGGGAAACCTATACATTTACATTTTCTCGGCTTTTTCCGTCAAACTTCGGATAAGAACCTCGAACGTAATAATGCACAGATTCTATACAGTAGTCCGGACTAACTTACGCCTTAAACTAAACATATTTAAACAAATAGTTTATGAATGATGTGTATGTTCTTTACATCGTGTATGATCTTGTAAATTTATATAGTAAAAGTACATTATTTATAAACTATTATGATATTAGAAACCGAAAGTACAAATTGTATACCTATTGACAACACGGCGGACATTCTTCAATTGATTCTGGTTGTCAGACATATGTTTAAATCAGACTTTACCAAACTTAACCTTATTTGATGTTCGGTGTAAAATAAACAATTTTTTAAACTCATTACAAGTATATAAAATGTTTTGTTTATGGTACAACTAAAATGTACTGCCTATCCATATAAACTCCGAGATTATTATGAAAACTTGACAAGGTGTTCCGACTGGGAAACCACATTTCACATATACAGCAGGTAAAGGAAAAAGTAACTTGGTTATTAACGAATCTTATATTGATTACGCTTTTTAAGAACTTTTATTTATGCATTAAATTGTTTACAGTTGGGAAAAAAATTGATAACGAAACATTTTCAATTTGAAAGTATACATTCATATAATGCAAGTACATAAAAAGGTGGATGAACAAAATCATTTATCATTTCTGGAGAATGACTAATTGTTATATTAGTTTAATCATTGATAAGTTAATGAATACCAAATAATTTGATTACAGTGGCCTTAGATCATTTTAAATTTATGTTATAATTACAAAAGCGATCCGATGCACTGAAGCCGCGCGTAAAAAGGGTGCCTGTCTAGATTTAATAACAGAAAACTATAAAATTTCATTTTCAAGAGGAAAAAAAGGAAGAAAAACAATAATTACAAAATCCGTTGAAAAACTGATTATTCAGACAGTTTCGATGAAATATTTTAAGTTAAAATAAGTAGAAATGCTTCTAATTACATTATTTCTGATCGCCGGATATCAAGGATGGCAGAGCATTTATGGTAAATATTGGGATTGCATTTTCCTTATATACATGTATTCTTGTGTGCGTAGATTTTAATATTTGATTTATTTAAATTAAATTGTCTGTTACACTTATTATGTTACACTTATTATGAATTACTGTTAAAATTTACAGTGTTACAGTATTTGATTTAACTGTAACATTTTATTACATCGCAATAATATATTCAGATATAATCAAGAAAGTACTATTATTTAATTATTTATTTATTTATTTATTTATTTTTATATATTTATTTGTTTATTTGTTTGTTTGGTTGGTTGTTTGTTTGTTTGTTCATTTTTTTATTTATTTATCTATTTATTTATTTATCTATTTATTTATTTATTTTTATTCATTCATTCATTCATTCATTTTGTTAAAAACTACATCTATCTAATTAATACATATAAAAGTTCCAGCTTTGATATTTATTGTTTTAAGTCACTAAACAATGTTAGATTTTTAAAAGCCCGTTATGACTCAGAAATGCCACCATTTTTATTTCTCAAAAACTTTTTTATGTTTGGTATTTTGTTACAGTTTAAAAAAAACAATACTCTTTTTAGATGAAATATCTTTTGCTTCTGCCATCCTGTAAGTACGGAATGCCGTTAGGGCCATTGCCTATGAATGTGTTGATCTGAAACGCGATAGTCGAAAGTACGATGGTGAAAACGCGAAATCACGAAACTACGATGGTGAAAACGCGATACTACGATGATGAAAACGCGATAGTACGATGATGAAAACGCGATAGTACGATAATGAAAACACGACAGTACGATGGTGAAAACGCGATAGTACGATGATGAAAACACGACAGTACGATGATGAAAACGCGATAGTACGATGGTGAAAACGCGATAGTACGATGATGAAAACACGACAGTACGATGATGAAAACGCGAAATCACGATATTACGATGGTGAAAACGCGAAAGTACGATGATGAAAACACGATAGTTTATCTTATTATCATCATCGTACTGTCGATTTATTGTGTTTTCGTTATCGTACTGTCATGTTTTCATCATCGTACTGTCGCGTTTTCACCATCGTAGTTTCGTGATTTCGCGTTTTCATCATCGTACTGTCGAGTATCGCGTTTCAGATCAAACCATTCATAGGCGATGGCCCTAACGGCATTCCGTATGTAAGCACTTAGTATACTTATATTGAATAAGTATTTTTCATGGAAGTCAAAATGCTTCTTTCAATACGTTTTGCTACCTTTACCACACACTAGTGCACTTTCAGCGCTACTTTCGTTGGTTGTTTAATGCTTTAAATCCATTACTATTAAACACATGTTTCACCTTTCTTAAGAATTAATAAAAAATATAGATTTCTGAGGCATAATATGCCTTTAAATAAAACGAAACAATGCTGTAATTTGACCAAACGCACGTGTCATTTTTACATTTACTCATGAACTTTTATCTTTGAAATTGCTTATGCGACATGCTTTCTTATACAGTTGCTAATGTTGTTCAACCCTTTTGCCCTAAGTTTAAATTGTTGTTATATGAAAATACAGTTCTTAGGTTGTATTCAAAGAGCAATAAAATATTATTTAACTTAAATATCTTTTTAATGCTTAAATACTGTAAAGAAACACACCATAGCATCGATTTGGCTTGAGACCTATAATAATAAACAAATGAATAAGATTAGTGTGGCGCCGTTATATGTCGCAATGCCGCTATATGTCGCTATTGCAGCTAACTGTCGCACCATTGCCGCTAAATATCGCACCATTGCCGCTCAATGTCGGAATCGCCGCTAACAGTCGCAAAATTGACTACCGTTAAATGTCGCGACTGTAACCTTTAAAGTCTTACCGTTAAATGACGCAACACTACCGTTAAATGTCGTAAGGTGTATATTCATGATAAAATTAAGCTTGCTATAATATTACAATAATCACAGAGTAAATGGTTGTATATCATAAGTAACTTTGGGGCCTAAAGGAATGTCCTAAATCTGCTGACTCAAGACGAAATGTGCTTTTAAAATGTCCTTTTTGATTGATATTAAACTGTAAAAGCGAATGATTGAGGTATAGTACGCAAATACGCTACATGTTAGGTGCATATAATAATCATCTGAAAATACTCCAGCTAATTTACGGAAAGTCGTTGGTTAAATTCAGGTTCTCGCTCGTGCCTGAAATAATGCACGGAGAGGCACCCCGAGGTATTTCTTCACCAGTAAGGCTGAAAAATCACTATATATGTCCTAACCCTGTTGGTTCATCAAACAAATCTATTTGTATCAAAAGACTGCTAATTTTGTATGTATTGCTGTAAGTACTAGCGTTTTACAATCTGAATATTAACTTTATTATTTTTAGGTTATACAAATGTATTTTAGTTCTTATTTGTTGGAAACTCTATGCGTATTAAAACACTGGAACTGGAACCAACCACTGTGTGTAACGTTGTTTTTTTTTTTTGTTTTTTTTTTTTGGTTTTTTTTTTTTTTTTTTTTTGCTAACAATACAAACGTCTTACCCTGGGTTTAAACCCTCGCGGCAATGAAAGAAAAGAAAGAAGAAAAAAAGAAAAACTAATCTGGTTTGTTTGCATTAATGATATAACTAATATAGTAAACCTAGATATACCTGTAAAACATGCTTGTACAGTAGGGTGAACGTGTCAGTTTACACGCAAAACGCACGTTACACGCTATACGAACGCACGTTACACGCTATACGAACGCACGTTATACGCACGCAAAACGAAACGAAATACGCAGACGCACGCAAAACGATATACGCTAAACGAAATACGCTAAACGATATACGCACGCTAAAACGCACGCAAAATGAAAACGTTTCTAAACCTTTATTAAAACATCGTAATCATTTTAGGTTTTTAACAACTTTAGCTACATGTAGATCGTTTATAGCGATAAATTTTGATTATCATATAGATCTATACTGTACTGTACAGTATGGTAGCTAGAAATGTATTTTAAACGAGTTTATGTAAGAACTGAAATGCACTCAACCTAGCACCGAAATTAATTTTTGTCACAGCCTCAACAAATGATTTTTAGAAATATTTATAAGCTATCGTGCGCTAATATCGAAAGTAAAATAGTTAGGATAACGTGTTCCTTTTTATGCGCAATCAAATAAAGAACTATCCCTTGCATTCACTACGTAATCTCTACGTAATAGTCCAACATGGCCGACATTGAATTATGCATTGCAAATTTTTATAAATATACAGTGCTAACAATTAAATTCAGATGGATTTATGAGGCATATCTATATTTTAAGTGAGGCTGCATCATAAACAATCGAACTATATAATCTTGAGTGTAAAATAAAGGAATAAACTATTTTGACAGAAGTCACGAAAACAGATTAAAAACACAGGATTCTACCACGGAAAACATTAAGGGAAATGGATAACATTAAGGGAAAAGCTTCCAGAATCAGGAATGATTTAATTGCTGGCACAATACGTAGATTTAAGTTGATGTCCTGTATGTTTCATTAGGACACCGCATGATTTATCTTGTCTTGTCGCCAGTAAAATCTTCTCAAAACGAAAGTGAAAGTAGAAATAAACAGTCTACTGAACAGCTGAAATCCAGTGAAATCACAAAAAAAGGTAAAATTTCTAGGGCATTACAATATATGAGTATATAGAGGATATTCAAGTTTTGTCTATAAATACATGATTTATTTTCATCGAGTGGTATGAAAATAAATATTTCATGAGTGGCGGTAGCCACGAGTGAAATATGTTAATTTTCATGCCACAAGATGAAAAAAAATCATGTATTTATAGAAAAAACTTGAATTTTCTGTTTATTATATACATTTTCCTCTTTTTTGACATTAAAATTTGAAAGACTTTCCCTTAAATTTTGTGTACTGGCAGAATTTAAAAGAAAGTAGTCCGGCAAGACACCAGTGAAAATACGGAAAATATGTTTCACTGCAGTGAAAAATAAATTTTTACAGTGAAAATACGGAAAATGAAAATATGCATTTTATTTCATCAATATTTCTCAATATTTCATTTCTAAATATATAATAAATATAAATATTAAGAACGCAATTTTAATTTAGGTCTGAAACAGTAGTCGAGAGGAAAAAAATGAGGAAAATAAGGAAACCGGTTGTGATGTAAAGTTATTGGATACTGGTTGGGGACCACAAAAACCGGACAACCACTGAATCCGGACGGCCCCGAAAATGCTTAATTTAGTATTTTCTTTGTTCGGTGGTTGTCAGTCACTTTTTATCAACAATAAGTGCATGTTTCTTTTAAAATTAAGTAAATAAATGTATTTCAACCTCCGTAAATGGTAATATTTTAATTTATATTTCAAGAATGTTGACGTTGAAATTCGGGGGTAAAGAAAGCAATGCCTGACCTCATATACCAGCTATAATCATTCGCAGAGTGAATAATAGAATATCCAAAAGTTCAGCATTTGTTGCTGACATACTGTATATATCATGTTACAAATCAAAAATCAAAACACCCAAGCTTTTATCTGAATTAAATCATATCATGCACATAGCTGTCCGGACACATGGTACTGTAGTGTTGACAATTTAGGTAATTTTGATACCCTCCTTGTCGAGCCTCAGATGTAAGTGTCAATACAATCAGAAATAAACAAACTAGTTTGTTAGTTAGGAGAAGAACCTAGCTGAACTGTGTCAATTTTTTTGGTCTCTAGGTTAAAAATTATGAACTCTGTACTGGCAAATGTTCCAAAAGTGTCCGGTTGATGGTCTCCGACCAGTATACAAAGACAGCGCAACAGAAAATATTTTCATATCAATTAAAATTGAAATTTATTGACGTGCGCTTAATATATATTAAAAAGAGGATATTGAATGAGTGTAAGTTCAACGCTGAATTTATTGCACAAGTTGAATAAAATTATATTATGCGGCCTCTGGTGAGCATAATATTTACATGATTTACTTTATTCAATGAGTGCAATAAATTCAGTAATGAACAT